TAGTCACTACATAGAAGTTAACCATATCTATATGTTCTCCATTTACGAAGACAGTAGAGAGATGGCTGTAAGAGAATCTTTTCTGGAGAACTATGTCGGGCTGAATAATAATCTCTTTATCGCACAATGAGCCATCATCCATAAATCTGTGAATGTTAGATAAGCATAGTTATTTCCCCTCGTTAAGTTATAACAAGAGTTGAAGGGAATAGTGAATGTTGGTGACAGACCTTCCTAAATTAATGATAAGCACAGCAGGGGCTGTGTGAACAGTCATGACTGGCTTCACAGCACAGTCACAATTGCTACAGATTTCTCTTGATGACTCTAGTCCATCCAGACATTGTTGCACGGTTCTACCAGTAAGAGGAACTTTAATGGTGAGGAACGGTTCATACGTCGTGCCGCAACAAGATGCTGTAAAATAAAACACACTGCAGCAGTTTACAGACAATAATTACACTACATACCACCCCATTAATTTGAACACTCACCAGAAACTTGCCAAAGCCCACCAAACATTAGGAAAATGGGAGATGTTCTCTCACTCCAAATATTTATGCTGCAACATTTTGGTTGACATTAAATTTGCACTCTAACTCATCGTGACAGGAATTGTACAAATTACTTACGGGATTGAAGAGTACACACTCAGAAAATTAGCATGCAACTTAAGAAGAATCTCTTCAATCACAACTTGTGCATCGTCGCAAGCATCTGTTCCAAGGAAATACGTCATTGAAAAATAGAGTTGGTAATCCTCCATGATGAATAAAAGTAGACAAACCTTTCATAATATTGCAGAACTGCAAAGGATGGACAACTACTTCCGAGTCAAGTTGCTCAAAGATGGTAAGAGTGGCACACAATAGGCAACTGGCTTTTGCATTGCAGGAAGATGAGTGCTGTGATTTCGAAAGCCATGCTACAAATGAGGGGACGTGCATAAGAACCTGAGAAATGAAAGAACAACACAATAACTGCTACTGAATATATTATAAAACACAGTCAACTATGACTTATTTTTCCTGCACCTGTAATAATGTGTTACACACGGATGTAAGTTCCCTTTGGGCGATACCTTTATCTCTGTGTTTAACACTACACCATCCAACAGTAATAGGTTCCAAATGAAGAACCACCTCAGCCTGCTCCAACGTATGAGTGGCACGCATCATCTTGATACTATGGTGTCAGAAATTAAAACACAGAAATGTGTCATTAAAATAATCAAAAAAGATGTGCCAGTTAATAACCACCAAAGTTTCCACTAACAATAATTTTTATTTAAAAAAAAAAAAAATTCCCACTATCCCAAATCCCCTCTGAAAGGTTTTTTTCATTCAAAACTGATAAAACGGAGCTGCTGTAATGAATGCGGGTGACCCATGTGAGGTTAACATCGGTTAAAACACCTCCACATTTCTAGAGAACATAACTCCTGACCGTAAACCTTTTTTCCCTAGTGCTTTGGTTGTGTTTAATATTCGATACCACTCATAAATATCGCTTGACACCTCATATTTATCACTATTTCACCTTCGTTCACTCTAATTCACGTAAACACGACCGTAGATGCGCGCCAAAGCTGTCCGAGCGTAGAAACGACGTCGCACCGTACATTTCTCATACCCGCCTTTGCTTCTTCTTTCTGTTCTTCTTATCCAAGATGGCCGCCGAGCTTTACCGGAATGGTCTAT